AAAACCTCACATCTATGGACAGCTAATCTTCGACAAAAGAGCTGAGGGCATACAATGGAGAAAAGAAAGTCTCTTCAACAAATGGTGCTGGGAAAACTGGACAGCCACACGTAAAAGAATGAAAATTGACCATTCTTTTTCACCATTCACCAAAATAAACTCAAAATGGATCAAAGACCTAAAGCTAAGACCTTAAACCATAAGGCTTCTAGAAGAAAATATAGGCAGTACACTCTTTGACATCAGTATTAAAAGGATCTTTTCGGACACCATGTCTTCTCAGAGAAGGGAAACAATAGAAAGAATAAACAAATGGGACTTCATCAGACTAAAGAGGTTCTTCAAAGCCAGGGAAAACAGGATTGAAACAAAAAAACAAACCACCAATTGGGAAAAAATATTTGCAAGTCATATATCTGACAAAGGGTTAATCTCCATACTATATAAAGAACTCACCCAACTCAATAACAAAAAATCAAACAATCTGATCAAAAAGTGGGCAGGGGACATGAACAGACATTTCTCCAAAGAAGATATACGGATGGCCAATAGGCACATGAAAAGATGCTCATCATCATTGATCATCAGGGAAATGCAAATCAAAAATACACTAAGATATCACCTTACACCCGTTAGAATGGCAAAAATAACCAAAACAAAAAGTAACAAATGTTGGAGAGGTTGTGGAGAAAAAGGAACCCTCATACCCTGTTAGTGGGAATGCAAACTGGTGCAGGCACTATGGAGAACAGTATGGAGATTTCTCAAAAAAGTAAAAATAGAAATACTGTATGACCCAGCCATCCCACTACTGGGTATCTATCCAAAGAACTTGAAATCAGCAATTTCAAAAGTCCCATGCACCCCTATGTTCATTGCAGCATTATTTACAATAGCCAAGATGTTGGAAGCAACCTAAGTGCCCATCAACTGATGATTGGATAAAGAAAATATGGTGTATATACACAATGGAATACTGCTCAGCCATCAAAAAGGATAAAATTGTCCCATTCACAACAACATGGATGAACCTTGAGGGAATTATGTTAAGTGAAATAAGCCAGATAAAGACAGTCTCTGTATGACTCCACTCATATGTGAAAGTTAAACATGTAGACAAAGAGAACAGATTAGTGGTTACCAGGGGAAAGGGATGGTAGGGTGTGGGCACAAAGGGTAAAGTGATGTACCTACAACATGACTGACAAACAATAATGTACAACTGAAATTTCACAGGGTTGTAAACTATCGTAATCTCAAGAAAAAGTAAAAATAAATGAAAAAATAATAAAGGTGAAATATAGACTTTGACCCCCCCCAAAAATAAATAAATAAAAATAAAAACTCCCTAGCTTGCCATCCCTACAAAAACAGGCAGCAGGCTGGCTTTGGCTCACAGGTCATAGTTTGCCCAGCCCTGGCTTAGACCAACGTTCTCTGTTACCTGAAATACAACAGCAGTCTCCTGCTCTCTTACTTCTATCTAGCCTGGTCTCTTGGTCCACTCATCATGCTGAAGCCAGATTGACTTTTCTAAATTGCAAATTGGCTTTCACTACTTTACTTCAAGTCCTTTAAAGCTTGTCCAAAGCCTACAGAATGTATCCACGTTACTTGGCAAGACCCTTCATAATATGGACCTTGCTAACCTTTCTAGCCCTGTTTCTTATCACTTCCCCCTAACTCTCTGTTCCAGCTGTTAGAACTGCTTGCAGTTTCTGTAATATGCAGTGTTTTTCACTTCTAACTTTTGACACATGCCTTGAATGTCTTTCCTCCTTACCCTCTCCCTAATTTCACCTAACTAAACAGTACTCTTCCTTCTGGACTTATTTCAGTTATCATCATCATCTCCAGAATCCTCCCCTTGATCCCCTAGAAATGGATTTAAGTACTTCCACTAAGTTCTCCTATCATGTCTGTAGAACCCAATAATACCATTTATTTTACTATATTGTAATTGCCTATTTACTTGACTGCCTCTCCTAAATAATCAACTCCTTGAGTGCCAAGTGTTTGTCCATTGTTTTAGCCTGTTTCCTGAATGGTGCCCCATAGTACCCTCAGCATTTTTATTTTTTTGCATTAAAAAAGTTGAGATATAATTTATATACTACAAAATTCACCCTAAAGTGTACAATTCAGTGGTTTTTAGTATATTCACAGTGTTGTGCAACCATCACCACTATGTAATTCAAGAACATTTTCCTCACCCCAAAAAGAAACTCTGCCCATTAAGAAGTCACTTTTTATTCCTTCCTCCCTCCAGACCTTGGAAACTACTAATTTACTTTTTGTCTTTATGGATTTGCCTAATCTGTACATTTCATATAAGTAGACTCATTACAATATTTGTCCTTTTGTGACTGGCTTCTTTCATTTATCATTTATAATGTTTTCAAGCTTATCCATATCGTAGCATGTATCAGTGTACTTCCTTCCTTTTTATGACTGATTATCAGCATTATATTTTAAACTTCATTCTTCAAAGTCCCCAGGGCTCTAGGGGAAAAGAAAGAGGGACCCCTAGACTCCCACTCCTGCTTCAACTAGAGCAGGTCTGCTTTCATCTGTTATTTGTTTATGGATATACTTTCATTTGAAATTTGAAAGTCACTGGCTCTCAGTTTGAAGAATAGACTCTACCTGGGGCTTAAGGGCCTTCCATGGTCTTCTTTTTCCAACTTCCTTTCCCACTCTTCTTTCCCCTGTTTCATATGCTGTAGCCAAACAGTACTTTGGTGGGGTCGTCATACGTGTCTCATGCTGATACCTCTTAATCTCAAGTGACTGTGCCCAATGCGCGGCAAACCAAAGACTAAAACGTCAGTGCTTGGAAATGGAGAAAGGCCGCATTTGAGTTGGCCAAGACAAGAAGGAGGGAGCATGGGTTCACTCAAATCTACTTTAACCAGAGCAAGAAGCAGTGGGGTTTTATAGGGCTAAGGGGCTTGGCAGGAGGAGCTTCCGAGAAACAAAGGGGTTACTCCTGATAAGCCCTTGGGCAATCTGCAAAGGCTGCTGAGGGCCAGCCATCTGGTGATGGCAACCTCCCCGAAGGCATTGTCTTTCTTCTGCATAACAAACTGAAATCCTCGAGACCTGAGTCACCCCACAAGTTAAACCAGAAAACAGCAAATTGACAAGATTCATCCATGTCTGTGCTGGGAACAAGGTCAAAAGGCAATCACCTTCTTTTTGAATATCTACAGTAACCCCCAGGTACCTGGTGTCAATACTTTCTTGCCTCTGTACCTTTTTTTTATCCCATCTCCTCTGTCTGAAATGCCTTTTTCTACTTATTTAAGGTTTACCTAACCTTCAATGCCTAATTCAAATGAAATCCCTTCTGTGATGCTGTCCCTGATCATACTAGGTATAAATCATCTCTGAATTCCTACAGTAATTATACTGCTTTAGATGCCACCTTGCATACTGATTTCTTCAGACTGTTCTGCTGTTTTCTAATTGTTTATGCTCTCCCATCCAGGCCTTGGCATAGCAGGTTCTAAAATGTAATTGAAAATGGTATGGCCACTCTGAAAAATACTGTGACAGTTTCTTAAAAAACATATACTTATTATTACAACGCAGCAATCTTACTCCTGGGGGTTTATCCCAGAGAAATGAAAACTAATCTTCACGTAAAAACCTGTATGCAATTTTTCATAGCAGCTGTATTTGTAATAGCCAAAAACTAGAAACAACCAAAATGTTCTACAGTAATTGAATGCTTAAACAAACTAGTGCATTTATCTCCTGGAATACTTCTCAGAAATAAAGAGGAATAAACTATTGTTGCATGCAACAACTATGTATGCATCATACTGAGTGAAAAAAAAATCTCAAAAGGTCACATACTATATGATTCCATTTATATAACATTCTTGAAATGGCAAAATTGCAGAGATGGAGAACAAATTAATGGTTACCAGGGGTCAGGGATAGTGGGGGGAAAGGGAGATAGGTTTGACTATAAAGGATACCATGAAGGAGATTTTTGTGATGATAGAATAGTTTTGTACCTTGATTCTGATGGTGCTTAAATCTATACATATGATAAAATGGCATGGAACTATATATACAGATTGTACCAATGTCAGTTTCCTGGTTTTGATGTTGTACTATAGTTATGTAAGATGTACCCATTGGAGGAAATCGTGTGAAGGGTACATGGGAACTTCTCTGTGCTATCTGCAATTTCCCGTGAATCTATAATTATTTCAAAATAAAAAGTTTTAAAAATATTCTTTAGAGATTAAAGTGGTATTTCTCATCATTATTTTATCACTTATGGTACTGCTTCTCATCAGTATGAATCTGACTATTCCTTTCAACATAAAGTTACTCTTGAGGTTGACAAGAGACTTCATTTGTAGTGATACTTTAATTGCGTTTTACAATTAGATGAAACCTGTTTAAGCAAGAACTGAGACACAGTGGTTCTTGGTGTATGGCATTCTGGTTATCCAAGGCTTTGTTTTCATTTCTAAATTAAGTGGTAAGTCTTAATTTGAGTTATACTTGAGTATAGTTTTAAGTTCCTGGTGTTCTTGTATACTGGCTCCGAGAGGACAGTGACCACAGCAATGAGTCCTGTGTAGTATCTGTCATCATATGGGAGCTTGATAAGCATTAATTACTTTTGATTTGATATTAATTGATTCAAACAATTCTTAATGTAGAGTTAGTAAGAGGTCTTTTCTGGTAAGATTTTGAAAAAACATCATTAATCAATATTCAACTCAAACTTTAAAGCTTTCGAAAGTTGTTATACTGTATACTAAGTAAAATGAATATTCTTCTGCAAATTTAAAATAAGTATTAAAAAATCAGAAATTATCTCTAATTCTTTTTGGAAAGAGGTAGGTTATACATAGCTAATTCAAGATTTTTCTTTTGTATTTATGATCAAGCCTCAAAATGAATATGAGCAAAAAAAAGTAAATATGAGCAAAACTACGTATTCTTTAGTAAAATGAAAACAATTTTTTTTTCAGGTTAAACTACAGAACAACATATCATATCAGATGGCAGACATACATCATTTAAAGGGTAAGAAACTTAATTACAGACTAAATATAAAGAAAGGTCACTATATGTCTAAACTCCTCAAAAGTTAAGAAATAGTAAGTTAGCTAAATGAAATAAAATTTTATGAACAAAGCTCCTCTGATAGCAAAACATCTATCCTTTTTTCTGAAGGTAGTATAAAACAATTTTTAATGTTGCTTTATATATAATAAATGCAAGTTAAAATATGAAGTCTGCCTCTTAGTCTTGTGCTGTAGACAGATGGTTCACGTAATGAAATATTGTTGAAAGAGTTCTCAAAGAAAATTGAGCTGTAGCTTCAGAGGCCATCACATTTCTAGGGAAAAGGGTAAGGAATGATCCCTGTGTACATTGTCTAATCTGCTAAAATAATTCATTCAGGTCTAGGGATGCTTTGGACAGGTCCTCCAAGCTTAATGTTTTAGATACCCTGGGAACAGAAAGAAACCTAGAACAGAAGGAAGCCTAAAAGAAACCAGGAAGAAACCTGGATACACACACACAGGCATATATGTGTGTATATATATATATCTATTTTTTTTTTCACTTAGATGAAGTGATAGGAGATAACTAAAACTTTTATGGAAAATAATAGGTAAGGAGAGCAAGCTTTGTGCTCTGCTTACATTACTTCACACTGTTGCTGGTCTTTGGAGTTTGGGGTCTGAGGGCTACCCCTCTTCTTCCTCCCACCTTTTGATTACAACGCTGTATATCATAAAACTTTGCATGCAGTGACTCTTAAGTTTATATACGTGGGTAATACATGATCTTTAATTTCATAAATATGTCTTTTTTCTATAACCATTTTGAACCTCTTTAGATGGAATTAATTAATGTATTTTTGTCATCCTCTTGAAGAAGCCAACCTGAGCTGGCTTTGCAATTTATTGGAATTTTGCTCTTCACCTAGCAAAACCATTAGGAAGTGTTATTTGTGTGTTGTAATCTTAAAATGGAAATTATTAACTTTTTGATATCTATGATTTAGAGCAGCTTTGACTTTCTCTTAGAAATTTGATTCCTGGGTGACCACATTTATTTTTGTTGCATTTGTGTCCATTTTATACTCTTTTTGACTTACAGGAGTGTATTAGGATGACACAGAAAATGCCACCCTGTCAGTGCTCCTTCCAGCTTGCAATTTTTATAAATAATTCTGCTTGCCGTTAAAGTATATTTCTTATTAAATAGTAATAGATCAATTGAATAAGAAATCCTGTGGCTTCCACTAGTATATGTCAAAAGAAAATGACAGCCTATGTTATTGAGTAAAAATCTTTATTGTACTGTATGGGTTGAAGTAGATCTTGAGATGTTTTGAAATTTGTATGATACTCTTCAACAGAGAAAAAGGCTTTGATTTGAACTCATAATTGTATAACTTTTGGTTTTACTGCAGTTACTGGAACTTGCACTCTTACGGTTGAATTTCATTAATGTGACTTTTACACCTTGGAAACCATTTCTATTGAAACAAACTTCTTGACAAGCTGATTATAAAATCCAGATTTGACTCTTTTCATTGAAATTAATACTGGATTTAATGAAATTTAGTACACAGTGAGACCCTTAAAAAAACTTAAGGGTAGATAATATTTTCTTGGAAATAAAAGGAATGAGTTGGTTTTTAATCCCTGAGGTAATGAATTAACATTCGAGTATACACTGATTTATTTTTAGTAGCTCACCTTATTTTTATGCCTATTACTGAAAGAAAATTTGAAATAAAAATGTGTAGAAGTAGATAGTTTTTTGCTTTAAGAGCTGGTCCTAGGCAACCCTTTCTTAACTATATCGCTAATCTTTGGAAATTAAATTGAGAGAGTATAGCCATGCCTTTCTATAACATGCCCTGGTGTTACGGTCAGAGACAGAACATCCTGCACAATCAGCCTTGGACCTGATCTCATGTTAAGTTACTCTGAGAATCCTGCTATGGTGACCTGCAGCAGCCACACTAGACAGAGTATCTTTGAGTTCAAAATAAAGAAGACACATGGCAATCCAAGAAACTGACATTTACTCTCTCTGCCTGCATTTCTTTTATTGGTAGGATCAGATGAAGCAGGAGCAATTCTAGAAAATGTGGGGCCATATTGATTATGGATTAAATGTTCACAAAAGAGCATCTGGCCTAGCTTTTAATTTATTATCTGGCTTGGAATTTCATGTTATTCGTTAAAACTAAAACTTTCAGCCCTAGTCCAGAAATTATGAGCTTTGAATGGAATCTTGGTGTATGTGGACCTAGCATCAGTAGCAGAACTAGAAATGTGATCTAAAGTGATTGGCACCTAAGTTGGAAGTCAAATGTGATTTAAATGAAAAAGAAGCCTTGAATTCTGTACCCATAGTCAACATATCTAGAAAATAGGATTTTTTCCCCCTACTTTTATAAAACAGATAAGTTTAAAGAGATAGGCAGGGGTTTTTTTGGTACTATCTCCACAGTTTAGTATATGTCTACATACTGTGAAAGGATGTGTAATTGTTAAATATTTCTGATGTGAAAGCCACTGAGGCATTTTGTTTTAAAAATAAATTTTAGTGCTCATGCATGTGTTATAAAAAGCACTTAAATGAGGTACTAATTATATAATTTAACTCCTTGAGAGTATGAGTAAAGAAATTGAGAAGTGTATATAATTTTTAAAATCCCATAACTTCTCAGTAGGAAGCATTACATTAGAGTGAGTAAACTTTGTTCCTTTGATTTTACCTTGTGTGGACAGAGCAACTTGCTGAGCTTCGTCAGGAGTTTCTTCGACAGGAAGACCAGCTTCAGGACTATAGGAAAAACAATACTTATCTTGTGAAGAGGTTAGAATATGAGAGGTAAGATGCTACATGCAACGAATATTTATGAGTCTGGAATATTTGTCCAACTTTTGGACACTTAATTTTTCTTTCTGCCTTCTGTTTTTCTTTTCTTCTCTTCTTTTGTTTTCTTAGGTCTTTAAATTCCTTTTCTGTTGTGTTTTTATACCTCTTTGAAATCCATTCTCTCTTATTTTGATGTGTTAAACACCATGAAAATCCCTCTTACAAGGCATGTTGAATCTGCCTGTGTAGTAGAGTTCATCGTGAGACAGAAAATCTTGCAAAGCCTGAGTTTTATTGAATTAGAGCTGGCAAAAGTTGAAAGAAGATTCCATGGTTCTTTTTGAGGGGCATCCAGAAGATGAATCAAGCACTGGGAGATGTCCCCAGAATAGCTGAGAGACTGAGTGCCAGCTGCTTCCCGTGCTCTGCACTTCAGTCCCCTGGCTTACTATTCTACACTCAGGTGGTGATAAGGTCAGGGAACCTCTTAAGGGCCTTCCTAGCAATCTCTCTTTGAAAACCTTTATTATATCTTTAATCAATTTTACATCAAAAGGTATTTTTTAGGTCTGTGCACCAAAAATTAGAAAGATTTGCCATATTTTAAAGCACTGTTTATCCATTTCTGACTTCTTACTCTTGTAGGTTATCAATATGCATCTACTTACTTATATGTATTTTAATCTAACAATATTCAATAGTTTTTCATATATCTATAGGTTTAAAGATTTAACATATTTAGAGGTAATATATTATTCCAGCACATTAATGTAGCAGAACTTGTGTAATCTCTCCCAATTGCTGGACGATTGTAGGAGTTTTCCTTTTCTCACTATTATGACTACCATCTATAAAAATCCTTATCCAAAAAGGATTTTTCCCTTCTTATGTTATTTCACTGGTATATATTCTTAAATACAGAATTCCTGAGACAGAATGTTTTATTGGTTTTGTTGCTCTTATCACATGTATGAAAGATTGCTTTCTAAAATGATTGTAGTAATTTATAAGGTAAATGTTTCCCCGTAGCCCCCCAACGTTGGCTTTTATAACTCTAACAATTTTTTGTGTGTGTGAGGAAGATTAACTCTGAGCCAACATCTGATGCCAATCTTCCTCTTTTTGCTTAAGGAAGATTGTCACTGAGCTAACATCTGTGCCAGCCTTTCTCCGTTTTGTATATGGGACACTGCCACAGTATGGCTTGATGAGTGGTGTGTAGGTCCATGCCTGGGATCCAAACCCACAAACCCTGGGCCACTGAAGCACAGCACATACTTACTCACTAGGCCACTGGGCCGACCCCAATTCTAACTTAATTTTGCTATTATAGGAATAAGATAGTACCATATATACATATAGGAAGTTTAATTTGCGTTTTTGATGGTGAAGGTTGACATTTTTCCATATATTTATTAACTGTTCTTTTTTGCATGAATGCTCTATTTGTATCCTTTGACTACTTGTCCAATGGAAATTCACAATCTTTATCTGTTTTGCTCCTCTACATTTTCTCTTGATGGCTCCATTCTGTCTTCTTTATTAGTTTCTTCCGTCTCGCTCTTATTATGATTTGGACTTTTATTATTGTGTTTAACGTTTAACTATTGTGTTTAATTTTTAGATGAATCATCTGCAGCCACTCCTTATCAACTCTCAAATTTTAACTTTTCTCATTTACTACTATATATTAGTCTCACAGTTTTCTCTTCTGTAGTGTTTTTCTGTTCTGTGATTGAAGTTGACTTTGACAATTGTTTCTTCATAAATGCAAGTTATAAAAAGAAGTTTTCATCTTTTTAATTTCTGTTTTTTAAATTAGCTTTATCAGTATTAAAGTTTCAGATATTTTAAGAATTTGACTGTGAGCTATTTTTACGTGTACTCTTTGTCCTTCCGTACCCACTCTCCTGCTAACTAAATGCTTTATCTTCATGATTGTATGTCGACTTCTAGACAACTTTGAGAATTCATTCCAAGATAAGATAGCCTAAAAGAATGACTTTGTAATTTAGTTTTCAGTGTGGACAACAGATCAAGGAATTAAGAGCACAGCATGAAGAAAATATTAAAAAGTTAGCAGACCAGTTTTTGCAGGAACAAAAGGTAAATTTAAAAAATACTTAAAATATGTTCTTGTTATAAATTTTGTAATTTAGAAATGAAAATATGTACTTTTGTCTTAAAACGTTATATTTTTAAGTATTCTAGCCTGTCTAATTCTACAAGTGACTTATAGTGGCTTTATTGCCAATAAAGTAGACATTTGCAAAAATATGACCTAAACTCTTAAAACTAATTTTGAGCTAAATATCTTTTATCTGACTTTTAAAAGTAATTTTTGCTGTTAATATATTTCTCATATTGTAAAGTGGATAGCATTTTACTGAAAAATCAATTACTTCCTATTTTATGCTTTTGATAAATAGAAAAAAATTGAGAAACTTTTTCCTTAATTATCTATCTCTATTATTCTGAATTTCTTTCTTAAAACACAGAGATGAAACACTAGCCACTGTAACCAATTTTGATTTGTATTTTTGGGAGCGACAAATTCTTTTATTAATTGATCATTTTTATTTGACATATGTTGTGAAGGCTCTGCTGGTAATGGAGAGAATTTGTCTGAAGATTACTAGTCTTTAGGATATTCATTTGTTACACTCTGTAATCTCATCTGACTAGCCATGGTTTGTATAAAGTCTTGTGATTTACAGTAAGGAGATTGAATAGTGAAAAGTATTTATCTTGCTCTTTAGTAGCATCTCACCTAAAGGACTAGAAGTTAAGGAAACCATATTTTCCTTCTTAGATATTTCACTATTTACAGCATGATATTGAGGGCATTGTTTTTTTCTCTATTTTATTTTTTGAATCTACAGAGTAGAATAGCTGCTGCCTATTTGCAGTCTGCCTTGAAGAGATGTGAGGCTAGATTGCTGGAAGATGGCAGGCCTGAGTAAGTTGCCATAGTGGCATAGAGGCATTGAGGATAGCCAGAGGTATTATTGAGACTGTGGACGGTGAGAGGAGCATAGTAGAACACACAAGGAAGGGGAAGAGAGTTTGCTGTTGTAATTGTGTTATTACAAGCCCAGTGTATAAATAATGGGATAAATTTGCTCTCTTCTGTGCTCTCCTTGGGAGAGCTTATCCGTTTTCCCAGGCAAGTGTAATTCTGTTTCTGCTTTTCTACACTAGGTTATTTTTATATTATTAATTAGCTAATATCCTCTCCAATCCTTCTTTGCCCTTATCCTGCCCTAAATGGAACAAGATGAGGAGGAATGGAGATGCTTAGAGAACTTCTCCTTTCTAGGGTAACACACCAGCCCTTACCCATCTGACCAACTGCCTAATTCTAGTCCCCAACCTTCATTCCCTGTTCTTCAACTATTTAACCTATTCTTCAACTATTTAACAAGTTAGTTCTTTTTTCATGGGAACAAGTCCAATGTTAGTTGTAAGAAACAAGCATAAGTTGCATTCAGGGATTTTTTTTTTAACCAAGCCCATGCCTATCTTAGAAATTACTCCAGAGAAAGTGTCGGTAAACCAAAACCAACCTGCTGCCTGTTTTCCTACTGCCCATGAGCTAAGAATGGTTTTTGCATTTAAAAAAGGTTGAAAAAAGATCAAAAGAATATTCTATGACATGAGAAAATTATAAGAAATTCACCTTTTAGTGTCTATAAATGCAATTTTATTGGAACACAGCTACGCTCATATATTTACTGCTTTCAAGCTGCAAAGGCAGAGAAATTGTTACAGACCAGAGGAGACTAAGGAGACCTGAGGACTTAAATGCAATGTAGTATCCTGGATTGAAGCTTGGAACAGAAAAAGGATAATGGAAGAACTAGTGAAATCTAAGTGAAGTCTGAATTTGTTTAATAATAATGTACATTTTGCAAATGTACCAGCTAATGTAAGATGTTAACATTAAGAGAAACTGGACGAAGGGTAATTTCTTTTCTGTAAATCTAAAATTATTTTAGAATAAAAAGTTTATTTAAAGCACAATTACGTGGCTCCCTTACCAAATCACCAACATTGTATCTAGAAAGCCATTTTATTTTATTAAGAATATTTAGTATTTACCATTCACATAAAGGTACTGTTGATAACCCATCAAAGGTACAACATCCTTGTTAACTATTTTAAATGGAAAAGTAATTTTGAACAGTAGTTTGTTGACTTTTAATTTTTAATGTTGTTTTATCCACATCTACACAGCGGTGGAGTACTGCAGCCTTATGATATAGCATTGTAGTGAAAGTGCACAGAGATACAGGATGGCTGCTCAGCTTGTGCCTCATAGATTTTCTCACCCTTGGCCTGTGTATTCACTTGTTCAAAAATTTCATTTTATCAATTCATTCAACAACAATTAAACTTTCAGATAGCTTACCAAGTTCCCAAAAAATGTGGGAGTGAAAAAAACTGGCTTGAATCCCTTCTCTACAATTCTCTATCTTTGTGACCCTGGACAAGCTACTTAACTTCTTTAATCCTGTCTTATTTTGTTTTTCCCAAAGCTGTTCATTTATCTCTTCTAGAGGATAGATTTGAAAGAAGTTTTTAAACTTTGAAGCACAGTGCAAATGTTTGTTGTTAATTTTATCTGCCAGGTACACTGGGATGCCAGGTACTGATTGTCAAAGCACCCTTTCTTTATTGCAACAAATTCTTATGATTTGGCTCTTGTTTTTCTAGATTCCCCATAGATCTTTTAGTACTATCATTTCTGTAATATTACTAATAATTACATCGCACAGTGCTTTAGAGTTGACAAAGCATTTATATATGTGTTAAATATTAAGTAGAAGGACTTATATGGCAACCCAAGCAAATATACTTGACTCCTTGCCTCTCCCAATTTTCCACCAAGGCTACTCAACCAACATAAGAGAGAAAACTGGCCCACCAGTAGAGTTGAGTCAGGCCTCATCATATATCTGAAGATTCAAGTTTTCAAGGAGATAATATGGTTAGGAGCAGATTGTGGGGGAGCATTGACTTGTGTATTGTTCTACCATTACTTCCTGTGCTTGGGTGGCCAGTGCACCTGGGAAGAAGTTTCCATGTTTTCCCTTGCTGTTTCTATTTGGGGAAAACCCTGACAATCTCAGTAACCATCGAACGCACTTGAGGGGACACTCATGTGCCAACCTCCTGCTGTCTGCCATCCTGCTCAATTACAGCATTTACCTATGGAGAGCCCCCCTGCCCACAGCCCCCAGGACAATGCCCAACTGTAGGCCTCCACAGCAGCCTAGAGTGCTCAGCAAGACTGTCTTTTTGCAGAATCCTTCCCTCGGCATAGCCAAAAAGAATTACCTCTGCCTAACATTTTGGGCCATTTATGGCAATTAAAGACTTTAAAAAGTGTTAGTTATTCTTTGACTTCATATGAGGTATAAAAACTGAACAGGAAATAGTATTATATCCCACAACTCCAAGTATTTGGAATTTGGACCTATGGTATATGTTTTAAAAAATGAACTGCTTCAGAACATTTAATTAATAGTTGTGTTGATGGTTTAACAGTTTGAACTGAAGAATATTTACTGTTACGAAATCTTTATCAAACAGCAAAAGGCTCACAAAGTTCAACCGAAAGGTGGACATGAATTGGGTGTAAACAATCATGCAGTACCTAAAAGTATTCCAAAAGTAGCTGAGAATGCTGCAGAAAAGAATGAAGAACCCTCAAGCAATCATATTCTACGTGGGAAAGGTATTATTATTATTTTGTTTGTGTTAATAGGATATTGACCTTTTTTTTCTCATTTTGAAGTGAACATTTCAGTTAAAGAATATTGTTTGATTTTAGTTCAGTTATGATTAAATGCATTGTTTCAAATTCAGATCCTTTGATAGAAGAGAAAAAAGAATAAGTTGTTTTACAGTTACAACTATGTCCAAAGCAAGATATAAAGATACTCAGTCAATGTAGTCAATTGCTTTAGGAACTGATTATTACATCCCTTCAACCATTTTCAATTTATGTAAGGAAAAATGTAGAATTATATATTTTGTTACTTGGGCAGAACAAATCAAACGAGATGGTGATGCAGGAATGCCTGGAATAGAAGAGAATGACCTCGCAAAAGTTGAAGATCTTCCCACTGGTAAGTAAAAATTATTAGAGAAGTTAACTAAAGTGATCATATTATTTTTCATGTGACCCCATTCTCTTTTTGGGTAACACTTGTGAAAAGTCACAAATATCTGGATGATTGATATTTTCAGTTAGTTTACTGTCCATTACTTGCCAGGACTTGTTTTGGATATAATTTTTGCCACAGTGTATAAAGTACTTGTTTTTGCCTTGGTAAGAGTCAACCATATTTGAACCTTTTCTTGATGACACAGAATAATTGCTCATATCAGTTGTATTATGTTAGAGCCATTTATAAAAGTATACGTGGCTCATTTCTTTCATGCTAAATAATCCTAGATTGCTGTGCTATTGGTGTGCCTTATATGGCATAGTAGTACCTTTATAGGAGTTATTTAGGTTTTTAGGACTTGGCTTATCCTTTTAGTTAATTTTTATTGTTAGTACTCTTGAGTCAATTCTGGCTCATAGCGACACTGTACAGCAGAGCAGAGCTCTGCCCGGTCCTTTGGCACTATCCTCTCATTTTCAGGGGCTGCGTCTCACCATGCTCTGCTGCTCTTCATAGGGTTTTTATGAGCAGTTTTTTTTGAAGTGGGTGACCAGGTTCCTCTTCCTAGTCTGGAAGCTCTGCTGAAACTTGTCCACCATGGGTGACCCTGCTGGTATTTGAAATACCGGTGGCATAGCTTTCAGCATCACAGCAACACACAGCAGCCACAATATGACAACAACAGATGACAGATGGGTGGTGTGGTTCCCTGACCAGGAAGTGAACCCAAGCTGCAGCACCAAATCTTAACTGCTAGACCACCATTCAGTTAATTATCCCACACTTTAAATAGTTGGCACACTTATTTTTTCTTTTTCTTTTATGGCCACTTCTGTTCAGTGTATATCTTTCTTCATTAACGTGTCTGCTTCTTAACAATTTCTGCTTGAAGTCTGTATATCACTACTGCTATCCTGATCCCATTCATCTTTTTTTCATATGTCTTTTGTTTTTCTTGCCATTTCTATGTTTCTTGGTTATTATAAATACCCCTCCCTGCTGACTCCAATTTATTATGGTGAAAATTGGAAGTAACAGCACATCTTTGGTTCTTCTTGGCTGTTCTTTTCCTTCTTAATGTCTGTGGTATACCTCATTGTATGTGGTTGAAATTGCTGTGTGTCTGAAGTCCAAATGAACGAAGTATTAGTCTTTTCATTTGTACAGTTTTGTTATCTTCTCAAATTCTTTGTCTGTATTCTTTTGGATTTCTAATTCACAGTATATTCTCCTAAAATCAAGGTAAGGACAAAAAGAATAACATGAATTTAAAAATATGGAGTTAGAATGAGCATGACTTGTTTGTAAGGCAATGAAACTATCCAGTGATTCTTAAAGTGTGGTCCTTGGACCAGGAGCTTGTTGGAAATGCAAATTCTGAGGTCCCATTCCAGACCTACTGAATGAGAAATTCTTGAGATGGAGCCCAGCAATCTGTGTTTTAACAAGCTTTCCAGGTGATTATGATCTATACTAAAGTTTTAGAACCACTGACTTATATGTTAATTTAAAGAAATATTGAGAGCAAAGACCATGTATTCTTCTTCTCAATTTTTATAGCACTTACTCTAGTCCTGGACTTACTGAGTTTTAGGTTGATTAATCTCTTTTACATTGCCCTTATTTATTTTTTAAGCTACACTCAAAGTTTTTCAGAAGATAAACTGCAGGTTTCTAGTATACAGAAGCATCCTATTCAGATATATGAGCAAGGATTATTCACCTGCTTGCATGCATTTATTTTTTATGTCATATATCTACAAAAATATATCTACATTTAAATATATAATTTTTATCATCTGTTGTCCATTTTGACATAGTTTTCAAGTTCAAATTTTATTACTACTACTCTAAGTGTATAATGTCCAAATGTATTTTCTAATTTTCCACTATTATAATTTATTACCTGGCCACTGGAAATTCCAGAGTTAGGGTAAAATGAAATGAGAATCTAAGAGGTCTTGGAGATCTTATCTTGACCATCTTTAGGTATATTGCCCTTATCAGACAGTGGTTTTCAAATGTCTTTCTTACATGAACCACTTCAGCAGGGCAAAGATCCTGTCTTGCCTCTTCTGCTTGCTTAAAAAAAAAAAGCAGACAGAGCCAGCCCTTATGGCCTAGTCATTAAAGTTCAGTACACTCTGCTTTGGTGGCCTGGGTTCAGTTCCTGGGTGTGGAATCACACCTCTCCCCTGTTAGTGGCCATGCTGTGGCAGTGGCTCATGTAGAAGAACCAGAAGGTCTTAAACTAGAATATACAACTATATACTGGGGCTTTTGGGAAGGAAAAAAAAAAGATTAAAAAGAAAAGCACACAATAAAATAAAGGAAAAAAAAAGCACACAATCATTTCATTAGAATTAATAGGGATGAATAATGCTACTTTTGATGAGATGCCAACAGATTCATATCTGATTTTTACAATATGAATTTGCCATATTAACTCACATAATGGCTGTGGCACTATAGTTTAGAGCTAGGAAAAACAGGGAAAATGTATACATTTTGTGTAAATTTAGCATTAGTGCCAAAAAAAATCTGTCTGTACAGACACCATCTACACCGTCATGGCATATTATAGGCCTTCCTCTGGATTAATTTTTCTTTGTCTTTGATTTCCTGTAATTTGAAAATGATATGCTGCGATCTAGGCAGGGTTTTTTGTGGGGTTTTTTTGCATTTGCCCTGCTTGATGGTCTCCGAGTTTCCTGTATCTGTCCTTTGGTGTCTGACGTTAATTTGGGGAAATTCTCAGTCATTATTGTTTCTAATATTTCTTCTATTCTTTTCTCTCTTCTCCTCTGGTATTCCCAGTAAGCTATGTTACACCTTTTGTAGTTGTCCTCGATATTCTTTTCTATTTGTTTTTTTGTTTTTCAGTCTTTGTTCTCTTTGCTTTTCAGTTTTTGAGGATTCTCTTGATATATTCTTTGACTCAGAGCTTCTTTCCTCAGCCATGTCCAATCTACTAATAAGCCCATCAAAGGCATTCTTCAATTCTCTTACAATGTTTTTGATCTCTAATATTTCTTTTTGGTTCTTTCTGGGATTTTCATCTCTCTGCTTACATTGCCCATCTGTTCTTGCATGTTATCTCCTTTATCCATTAGAACCCTTAGCGTATTAATCATAGTTGTTTTATATTCCCCTTATGATAATTCCAACATTTCTGCCGTGTCTACTTCTGATGCTTACTCTGTCTCTTCAAATTGTGCTGTTTGCCTTTTGGTATGTCTTATAAGTTTTTCTTGATAGCTGGATGTGATGTACTGGGTAAAGGGAACTGCTGTAAATAAGCTTTTAGTAATGTGAAGGTAGGTGTGGGAAGAGGGGAAGCAGGCTATAGTCCTATAATTAGTTCTCAGTCTTTTCATGAGCCTATGCCTCTGGACTGTGAACTTCAGAAGTATTTCTCAGTTTTTTCCCCTCTCTTAGGTGGGACAGGATGGCTAGAGTGGGCTGGAGTTGGGTATTTCTCTTCCCTGGTCAGGTAGGTTCTGATAATACCCCAGCAGGTTAGGTTTTGCTTAACTAGTTTCTCCTGGGGGCAGGCCTTGTTAAGAAGAATAGAGTGCTCTGGTGTATTTCAAAATGGTTCCCTTTCCTCTCCCCCTGCTGGAAGCAGGGGGCGGGGTGTGGGGGGCGTGGGTGGGTGCAGCTGTTTTTCTCCAATATTTACTGTGGGAATGTGGATAAGCTCCAGGTGATTAATCTCACAATATTGTAGGGGGCCTCCTATGACTGGGTCCCCCTGGATGTTTTCTTTAAAAATTATTTTATTGGGGTCATATTGGTTTATAACATTGTATAATTTCAGATATACATTATTATGTATCAGTTTGTGTATAGACTACATCTTGCTCATGCCCAGTAGTCTAGTTTTTACCATCACCATAAATATATGCCCCTTTACCGCTTCACCCTCCCCCCAACCCCATTCCCCTTTGGTAACCACTAATCTGTTCTCCTTATCCACATGTTTGTTTATCTTCCGCATATGAGTGAAGTCATACGGTGTTTGTCTTTCTCTGTCTGGCTTATTTTGCTTAACATAATAGCCTCAAAGTCCATCCATGTTGTGAATGGGACGATTTTGTCTTTTCTTATGGCTGAGTAGTATTCCATTGCATATATATACCACATCTTCTGTATCCATTCATCAGTTGATGGGCACTTAGGTTGCTTCCACGTCTTGGCTAATTGTGAATAATGCTGCAGTGAACATAGGGGTGCATAAATCCCTTTGTATTATTGATTTCAAGTTCTTTGGATAAATGCCCTGTAGTAGGGTAGCTGGGTCATATGGTATATCTATTTTTAGCTTTTTGAGATTTTTAATACTGTTTTTCATAGTGGCTGCAACAGTTTGCATTCCCACCAGCAGTGGATGAGGGCTCCCTTGTCTCCACATCCTCTCCAACATTTGTTATTTTTTGTCTTGGTAATTATAGCCATTCTGACTGGTGTAAGGTCATATCTCATTGTAGTTTTGACTTACATTTCCCTAATAATTAGTGATGTTGAACATCTTTTCATGTGCCTGTTGGCCATCTGTGTATCTTCTTTGGAAAACTGTTCATATCTTCTGTTCATTTTTTGATCAGATTGTTTGTTTTTTGTTGTTGAGTTGTGTAAGTTCTTTATATCTTTTGGAAATTAACCCCTTATCAGGTATATGATTTGCAAATGTTTTCTCCCACTTAATGTGTTGTCTTTTCCTTTTGTTCCTGGTTTCCTTTGCCTTGCAGAAGCTTTTTAGTCTGATGTAGTCCCATTTGTTTATTTTTTCCTTTGTTTCCCTTGCCTGGATAGACATGGCATTCCAAAAGATACTGCTAAGACTGATGTCAAAGAGTGTACTGCCTACATTTTCTTCTAGGAGTTTTATGGTTTCAGGTCTTACATTCAAGTCTTTAAACCATTTTGAGTTAATTTTTGTGTATAGTGTAAGATAA